TAAGCCCAAGGTCTCATCTGGATCTCGGCCAGCTTTCGCCGCGAGGGCGCGAATGCGCCGGAGCATGCCATCGACCAGCTTCTCTCCTTCGAGGTACTCCTGCTTTAAGGTTTAGGGTGTAGGGTTTAGGGGTTTAGGGGTTTAGGGGTTTAGGGGTTTAGGGTTTAGGGTTTAGGGTTTAGGGGTTTAGGGGTTTAGGGTTTAGGGCTTAGGGCTAGGAGGCTTTTTTTGGGTAGTTATAGGGCTCCTTTAAGGGATCTATAAGAGGGTCCTATAAGGGCTCCATAAGGGCTCCTATAAGGGGTCCTATTTGGAGGTTGGGGTTATAAGTCCACTAACAGGGTTTATAATTATAGTTACCCTACTTATAAGCCTACCTATAACTACCCATGAACCTCCAAGTGGATGTGTCTCACTTCGGGCTCGACTACCGTGCTTGTAAGGTTCTGCTTGGAATGGTGCAAGCATCCTGCCATTTTCGGGCTTGAGTTGTATAGGATGTCGCCCCCTATCCCGTAAGTGCTACAGAAGAACAACGACATCCATCTGCTGGTGTTGGTGCGTGTGCGTGTGCCTGTGTGGTTGGGGGGTGCGTTTTCAATTTTCTGCATGCAACGTACATCGTTGGTCTAGTGAGGATTGGACAGCTACGCAGGGACCATGGCACGACTGTCGCATCTGTGTCAGCATTACCGGTCATTACGGTCACCCTGCGTCTTTCAGTCAGTGTGTCTCTGTCTGCCTGTCTGCCTGTCTGTCTGTCTGTCTGTCTCTGTCTGTCTGTTCGAATGTGCCCGGGTTCGACTCTGCACATTTGCGCCATTGAGCATGTATGTATGCACGCATGTGTGCAAGCATACATGTATGTGCGTATGCTTGAAGTTATCTATGCATGTAAGTACATATTAAGCATGCATATACGGCATTTATATAACATGTGTGTGTGTGCGTTTGTCTGTCTGTCTGGCTGCGTCTCCGCTTGTCTGTCTCTCCCTCTCCATAGGGGCAGTTCAATGCCCCCGGGCTCCTGGCCCAACCGATATTTTATCAGGTAAGGGGGAGTGAATGACGAGTGCAGATTCTCATGTCAAACTCAAAGCCATAATTATTCAATGTCGGTCTCTCTCTCTCTCTCTCTCCCTCGCTCTCCCTCTCTGTAATATACATACATCTGTGCGTGTGTGGGTTGTGTCTGTGCGCCTATGTCAGTGTGCGTGCGTCTCTACCTTCATGCCGTGCGACTCTGCGCATGTAAACTTGCATGTCTGTCAACAGAACCACGACCGACAGGAACTGGACGAACCCTGCTATACCGCTACGCTCTAAGGCCAGCCAAGGTGCCATGCACAGAACTCGGCGGCTGCACAGCTCAGGATATGTCTTGGGAATGGCTACACCTCGCTCAGAGACCCGATACTCTTCATCGGCGTTAGCATCAAAGTCGCGGAAAACCTGTCTTGAACTGAGCTCGGCGCGCTTTCCCCACCGTTGCTCAACATTTGCCCTGACTCGCTCCATGTTTTCCTTGGTGCGTGCGGCCGTGTGGGTGTGCGTGTGTGTGTGTGTGCGCGCGTGAAGACTCGCATCCTGCCAGGCAGAGAACGCAACATGCGAAAATTTGCTTCAAGGCGTCACGCTCTAAAGCGTAGTCGAACTCAGACTCGAACATGGCCTCCAGCTCACTCATGTGGTCCACTGCCCAGGGAAACGCAAAGCCTGGGCAAAATCCAAGCCATGTGGCAGCGTGCATCATAAACCTCTCGCAATCAGGGCCGCTTTTTCACTAGCAAGAAAAGATGCTCGAGGGCTTAGCACCGTGAAATCAGGTTCATGAGCTTCGTAGACCCTAAGTAACGCAATGGCATTCAGTCGCAATTTCTTCTAAATGATCAGAAAGGCGCTCGTGAATAACTTGAGCGTCTTGATATCCACTCGGAACAGGTGCTCTGCGCCGGGCATCTGTACCTCAGTAGCTCCCACAGGTCCGTCATGCCCCTCTAAAGCTGGAGCAGGATTTAACAGTATGCGCGGCTCCGAGACAAATCCCGATTGGCAAGCGAATGCTCCAATCCCATGCAAGATTTGCCAATGCCACGAAATTTAGGGTTTAGGGTTTAGGGGAAATACCTGCTGGAGATGTTTTTTTGGGCGAGCGGGCATCTGCTCAGAGCTTGGGCTCAGAGGCCATGCTTCGGCAGAAGAAGAGCACGGCCACCCTAGCAACCAAGCCAAACCGACTACCACCGATCGGCATGACTTCATAACGCTACTTGGAGGTTCATGGGTACTTATAAGTAGGGTTATAAGTAGGGTAACTATAATTATAACCCATATTAGGGGACTTATAACCCCACTTATAACTACCCATGAACCTCCAAGTACCGTCAAAAGAAGCCTTCATTGACATCAGCGCGCCTTCACGGCGACTCGCTCACCGCTGGATCGCAACTTTGCGAGATACACCTGAAGTCTTCAATTAATGGGAGTTTCCGAAAATAAGGGACCCTAATATAGTACCCCGAATAATGGGATCCTTATTATAAGGACCCCAAAATAAGGTACCCCTAATTTTCGGAAACTCCCTAATCGATCGGGGGAGAATCTGTGTATAGACTGCCTGTAGGAAGAAGGGTCAATCCGCTGCAGCCTCTCATCATGATACTCAGCAGATTTATGGTCTGGACATGTGGCTCCGTAACTCGCGATTGCAGAACTTCAAAGGACGGTGGACCGTGGCGAAACCGTCTCCGCTTCCGTCTGTGTTTGTCCCACAGTAGTTTCTGAATGTTACTGGTTTGCAGGGGCATTTCCTAATTGGAATAGGGCTTCGGGGTCTGGTCTACTGTAGTTAAATTCTGCTCAAAGTACAGTTATAGAAACATAAACAGATAAATAAACAAATATATATATATATATATATATATATATATCTGTATATATACCGGGACAACACGAATGTTTTAATCACTACTAACGATTCTGAACCACCCAAAAACCCTGTAATGTCATCGTACTACAATTTTTTCCAACCCCATATTCGGCCGAGCGCTTGCCCAATCGAGGCGGAGCCGATGGGCCGGGGGCTCCAGTCCTCGAGCACTGCATCAAGGCCTCAAGGAAAGGCTCGGCCGAGTATTGGCATTTGGGAGCTCTGACAGGGAGAGAGAAAGAGAGAGAGAGAGAGAGACTGGGATGTATGTACATGTATGTATATAAGTACACACATGACTATACAAATACGCGCACACAAACAAACAGGTAGTACGCATGCATGCCTGCATACATGCAGGGTGGGGCGGGTGGTGGGTGGGGGTGGGTGGGTGGTTCGTCTCCTGCAAATGACATGACGGCATCCACGCATGCACGAATCGACACAGACACACAGACACACAGACACACACACACACACCCATACATGCGTGCATTTGTGCACGCTGGGGATGTTGCTCCGCCCCTGCATCACAGACCTCTTCGTGATGCAAATTTTGGAGGGATGGCAAGATATGGAAGGTTGAGATGTGTATCCTCAGAGTCACACTAGGACGAAGTAGGGCTTAGCGTTGGTGACGCTTAAGTTAGGCCCCTGTGAAGAGTCCCCCAACCCCTGGCACCCTAAAATCCCTGAACCCTAAACCCTAGAATCCCAAATCCTTAAACCCTACAATCCCAAATCCCTAAACCCTATAATCCCAAATCCCTAAACCCTACAATCACTAATCCCGAAACCCTAGAATCCCTAATCCCTAAACCCTACAGTCCCTAATCCCTAAACCCTAAACCCTAGAATCCCTAATCCCTAAACTCTACAATCCCTAATCCCTAAAACCTAAACCCTAGAATCCCTAAAGCCGAACATGGTTGCTTGTTGAAAGCCTGTTTAAACCCTAAACCCCTAAAGCCTAAACCCCTAAACCCTTTTCTGAACCCCTAAACCCTAAACCCCCCAACCCCTAAACCCCTGGCTTGAAAGGCTTCGAAAGCCGTTCGCCTTGCGGCTCAGTCAAGCCGAGCTCTGCGGCGATGAACTGCCGAGCCTCTGTTGAACTCAGCGACACCGGCGCTTCATCCTCCCAGTTTAGGGTTTAGGGATTAGGGATTGTAGGGTTTAGGGATTCGGGATTCTAGGGTTTAGGGTTTAGGGATTATAGGGTTTAGGGTTTAGGGATACATCCTCCCAGATCGCCCTACTTGGAGGTTCATGGGTAGTTATAAGTAGGGTTATAAGTAGGGTAACTATAATAATAACCCATATTAGGGGACTTATAACCCCACTTATAACTACCCATGAACCTCCAAGTAAACCCGAAACCCATGGGATGCTTGGGCCTTGGCAAGCTTCATGCTCAGTGCATGCCGCCGTGATCTGCAGCTCTGATGCTACTTCGAAACTACCATCGTGCCGGGATCCCGGCCCTAAACCCTTAACCCTAAACCCTTGAAGCAAAAGCATGTTTCACTACTGCGGAGCTTTTTCAAGAGCACGGGGGTCTCCTGGAGCTTCTTGGCCCAGGCCAGATACTGTTGAGGGATGTAATCATCCCGCCTTGGGTCGACAGGTTCTGCACCAGAAGCCCACAATATGAGGGTTTCCGCAAATAGGGGATCCTAATATAGTACATTAAATAATAGGACCCTTATAATAAGGACCCCAAAATAAGGTACCCCCTATTTTCGGAAAGTCCCATATCAGGATCCTTCTGAGAGGCATCCCTGGAGAAGGCGCCTCTAAGTTTCGAAGCTAAACGTCGGGTGCGAGGGCTGGGCGGATACCTACTTTCATGCAGCCGTTTCGACGACTTTCTCAGTTCGTTTGTCGAACATCCAACTTGCGCAAGCTTATAGGGGCCCTCATAATTAGAATAGGGTTTCGGGATATATTATGCTATAATAATTACAACAAGGAACCCCCAAAATAGTATTGCTAATTATTTAGGCCCCCAGATTGTCGAGTCGGCCGAAGCTTCAAACCCAAACAGCACCCATTCAGTTTGGGTTTGGTGCAACCTAGCTTAACCTACCAAAACCCACTTGTTGTAGGTTCTTACTATAGAGCCCAATATGGGATTTATCGGGAGCCTTCAAAAAAGCAGGTTCCAGTGGGTTAAGGTACATCTTCATTTCTCCAGGTTGCATTGAGAGGAACTGCGCCACTTTCAGGTAGTAGCCACGCAGTCTCAAGGTGGCCGCCCGCACAATGGGAGAATAGAAATCATGCAGTCTCTCCTTGAAGTCTAGCAAATGTCGGGCTCACTTGGAGGTTCATGGGTAGTTATAAGTAGGGTTATAAGTAGGGTAACTATAGTTTTAACCCATATTAGGGGACTCATAACCCCACTTATAACTACCCATGAACCTCCACCAAGTAGGGCTTCAGTTCCAAAACCTGCCATTGCAGTCTAGAGTCAAACGCCTCTGTTCTCTCTTGGGATGGACTTGGGTGAAGAATGCCGTCCACAAACCTAAGCTGTTCTTGGGAAGCCCTATGTTACCGCTCCTTAAGAGTATATTCTTAAAGTGCGACGCTATGCTGCTATAATGTTAGGGCTAACGCCTAACTCTAACAACTATTCCAAGAGCGGCCGAAGAACTTGTAGTGTGCAAAGATGGGCAGGACGACAATCCAGAACTGCAGGCACCTGCGAAATCCTCCGAGGAAGTGCGACACTGGAGAATGTAACTACTCTATCTAGTGCAGTCACTTTTTTTGGTTTCCTGGTTTCTCTGGTATACATAGGAGCCTAGCCATAAAATCGGCTCATAAAGTAACGGAGCTACAAGTACTGAAGCGAGTCGATTGAGAACTCCCCACCCCTCCGCCCCCTAATCGGCGCCACGGCATGCCCGTTTTGAGCAGGGAGGGGGTCACCGATCAGGGGTCTGCATTCTTCTGACATCCAGAGTTCTTTTGTTGGTAAACTGCGACGAAGCTTTCTCACCCGAGTATATGCTCTCAGAACTCGTGCTCCGCCGAATGAGGTCGCGGTATGGCTCTCGAACTATATTGTGCTGTAAGGCCGCAGATCAAGCACAAAAGAGATTCGAATAAACTGCATAATCAAGCCAGAGCTGTCCCAACTCAAAGTTGATGAAACGTGAATCAAGCTGTTCAGGGGTCCTGGCTCTCTAGTTACAGGTTCTTCGAGCGGTCGTTTGCAGGCGATGCATGAAAGCACCTACTCTCGCCCACAGGTTGAACCCGTTGGCGCCTTCATCGCCAGCGGCTGCAATTCCAACGGCCCCCGCTGTGAGCCCAGCACCTGATCGCACCGAGGCTGGGCGCTGACAGTTTCGGCTCTCACAGCTCTCACTCGCACAATGCAGGCGAGGCTTACGCTGAGGGTTTAGGCTTGCCTCTTGCCGCTGATGTTCGAGGTTTTGCACGGGCGTAAGGTACTATGAGATGCAACAACCTTGGCATCAAACTTTCCATGCATGCATCCGGGGTCGCACCGGCCAAAGGATAAAACATCGTGGCAACTGTTGCTTCAACGCAGGGTCCTGAAAGCATCGGCTGTTACGCAACTGATAATCGGCTTTTAGGTTGTACGATAAATTGCCAGTCTAAACCCTAAACCCTAAACTTTAGACTCTAAGCCCTTTTTTTGAGCAGGGACTGCAATGCACTACTCTAAACCCTAAACGATAAATCCCTAAGTTGTGAGTTTCTCCCTACCTTGGCACCTTGACCGAGACAACCCATGCGAGCATCCGGTCAGGACTTGCAAGGCCGAGGCATTATTAATATTACTATGATTTAATACATTTAATATTACTATGATTTAATAGTATTACTATTATGGCTATTCATATTGTGATGATTAGAATCATTGTTATTACTGGTACTATTATTATTATTAATAATATTATTGTTATTATTACGACTATGAATATTGTTATTACTATTATTATTACTATTATGAGTAGGTAGCACATTGTGCCAAAAGCATCGAGCATCATGT